AATGGTATGGCACGCTAGATTCTCCTCTCATTTTTCTTGCAGATGTACTCTGCCCACCACTGCAACAAATTCTCAACAGAACTAGGGACCACCCAAAGGATTCCCCACCATTGTAACAACCCAGTCCAAGTCCTCCACACCATAGGGCAGTGAATCAGAACATGATGGATTGATTCCTGCTGTGATTTACAGAAGTGACATGAGGTAGAAGCCAACCTATCCAATACACCAATTCGTTGCAAGAATACAGATGTTTTAACCTTGTGTTTTCATGCGAGCCAACCAAAAAATTGCACTTTGGGTGGCAGATAATTGAGCCAAATCAAACCACTTGAACTAACAGAGTTACCAAAGGCAAGGTTAGAATGTTTATAGAGAGTGGAAACAAGGGACTGACCAGGTTTTAATGCTACCCAATCTACACTGTCTTCTACACCCAGATTCAAAGAAGGAGGTGTTGCTAAGATGACAAGAAGTCTGTGAAGCTCTTCCTTTTCCCATTCAAAGAGGGATCTCCTAAAGGTAAGCAACCAGTTTGCAGCTGAGTTTGTCACAAAGTCCTTAAGCAGTCCCTTCTTGTTGTTGGACAGTTGAAAGAGTCTGGGAAACCCATCTTTGAGGCAAAGAGCCCCACACCAGTGATCATACCAAAACTTCATTCTATAACCATTCCCAACTTTTAAATGAAGGTTACTAACATAGAACATTAAGAGAGATTCTTGCTTATCAGCTGCTGCCACAATGCCACCCTAGATTTTTGAATAATTGTTGCTTGAGCTGAGATTTGGAAGCCATGTCCCTCCTTAAAACTTGTATTTACTACATAAGACCTTCTTCCATAATGAATCATGATCAGAAGCAAACCTCCACCACCACTTGAGTAGTAAGCACAAATTCACATCCCTTATTCTTTTGATGCCCAATCCTCATTGTTTTATACTATTTGTTACCTCTGACCATTTTACAAGATGAATTCTCCTCTGTAGATCTAGGCCTCCCCATAAAAATGAAGCTTGAATGTTGTTTATCTCCTTAGCTATTCCTTCAGGTAACTTAAACAGAGATAAGTAAAATACTGGCAAACAAGATAGCACTGCTTTCACCAAAGTCAACCTCCCTGCAAAGGAGAGAAACCTCCTTTTCCATCCAACAAGCCTCATTTTGAATTTATCAACAAGTGGTTTCCACATCCTCTTTCTTTTGGGATTAGCACCCAGAGGCAATCCAAGATACTTGAATGGTAAACTTTGAGTCTTGCAATTCAGCAGATATGCAAACTCCTCAAGAGCAGCGACAGAAATACCAACCCCACAAACCACACTCTTATGATAATTGATTTTGAGACCTGAAGCTACCTCAAAACACCTGAGGATCCTTTTCAAACTAAGGACTTCGGATATCTCAGCTTCACAAAACAGAAGAGAGTCATCTGCAAATTGGAGATGAGACAGCTGAACTTGATTATTTCCAGTGATAACCCTTTTGAGTATATTCAACTCCCCAGCTCTCTGAAGGAGAATGTTTAGTGCTCCGACAACCAAGTTAAAAAAGAAATGGGGATAGAGGATCACCTTGTCTGAGGCCTTTTTGAGGATAAAACTCCTTAGTTGGTGAGCCATTAACAAGGATTGAAATTCTTGCAGTAGAGACACATTCCTTGATCCATGAAATCCATTTGGATCCAAATCCAAAGTTTGCTAACATTGAGAGAAGAAAGTCCCAATTAATAGAGTCAAAAGCCTTTTCAAAATCTAACTTGAACAGCAGCCCTAATTTCTTGGATTTAAGCCAGCCATCTACGACTTCATTTGCAACCAAAACTCCGTCCAAAATGTTTCTACCTCCCAGGAAAGCTGATTGTGAGTCACCAATAATCATGGGCATAACTTTTTTGAGTCTGGATGCAAGGACTTTAGAGAGAATTTGGTACACAGAGCCAACAAGGCTTATAGGTCTAAATTCATTTAAAGTGACAGCTTTCTCTTTTATTGGAATCAGTGTGATGAAGGTACTGTTATAACCTGTTGCCAATCTGCCACTAGTATGGAAATCCTTCATAAAGTTAAGCACCTCCTCCTTAAACATCTTCCAAAACTTTTGAAAAAACATCAGGTTAAATCCATCTGGCCCAGGAGCTTTGTTCCCATAACAATCTATTACAGCTGCCCAGGTTTCTTCTTCAGTGAACTCTGTCTCAAGTAAATGAAAGCATTCACTAAGCCTTACACTCTTGAAATCCCCTACAAGAGCTGGTTTATTCTTCCAAGCTTTAGAAAAATGGTTAGAGAAGTATGACCACACTTCTTTTTTGACTTGACCTGGTTCCACAAAGACAACATCCCCCACTGTGATGGAATTGAGAGAATTTCTATTTTGCCTACTAGTAACTATAACATGGAAAAATCTTGTATTTTTATCACTTTTCATATTCCAATCTTGCCTAGACCTTTGAAGCCATTCATATTCCAACTTCTTGCTCAACATCCATATTTCATTCCTTTTCTCTCTTTGCTGCTTCAGTTCTTCTTCCACCAGAGGCCTATTCTCAGCTTTCAAATCAATCTGATGAAGTTCATATTCAATGGCTTGCAGCTTAGTTGAAACATCACCATATACCTCTTTACTCCATTTTTTTAAAGCCAACTTGAGGGCATGCAACTTTCTCTGAAGGATGAAACCAGCAGACCTTGAGAACTGTGAGTCCCTCCAAATTTGCTCCACAAAAGATGCAAAATTCAAATGCAACAACCAAGCATTTAAGAACTTAAATGGTTCAGGCCCCCAATCTCTAGCATCCTCCATAAGTACAATAGGGCAGTGATCAGATGAGATTCTAGAAAGACCCCACTGATTGGATTTAAATTTTTCTAGCCATTCAGGACTAAGAAGGAACCTATCTATTCTGCTCCACTTATGACCGTCAAATGCATTGCACCAGGTGTATTTTCTGCCAAGCAATAGAAGATCAACTACCTCACATCTGTTAATAAAATTGTTGAAATCCTTCATACCCCTATCCCTGAGTGATACACCTACACTTTCCCCTATATTTCTAATCTCATTGAAGTCACCACCAGTACACCAAGGCTTGGGGAAATAAGTTTTCAAATTTAACAGAGATTCCCAAAATTTCCTTTTCCTTATGATGTCATTGGGAGCATGAATATTAACAAGTACACAGTCAAAGGAGTTGAAAAGCTTACCTAATAGGAGAAGAAAGTTTCTGCTGCAACAGCACTCAGTACGCTCAAATATGACTGGATCCCATATACGAAGTAAACCACCAGCCAACCCTTCAACATCTACATTCATGAATTCAAGCCTATCTCTAGGCCAGACACTTTTCACCATCAAGTTGGTTAGACTTGATTTTTTTGTTTCTTGGAACAAAGCCATGTCAATCTTTCTTTCTAATAACAATTTCCTAATCTTGCTTCTCTTTTCATGCCTTCCTAGCCCTTTGATATTCCAACTTAAAGTCGTCATATGAATAGAAATGACTCTGGCAGCACCCAGTGGTAACAGGTTATTCCACATTACCCTTCTCTTTTTCCAATCTCTCCTTATCCTTTTCCTCCATTTGTTCTAATTCTCTAATAACCTCAGATTCCTGACCCTTGAAGTCTAAACCCAACCTTTGCCCCAGTTGCAATATGGATTGAGCCTCTTGAATAAATCCAATACCAGAGGGTTGTTGTAGTTCTGGACTATGATTTGAAGTAGGTATAGCTGCGGAACCTGTTCTGGAGCTTTTGGTGACTCCCTTATTTGAAATTGCACCCTTCTGCCCTATTCTTCTAGCAAAGCCAGAGAACCTACCAGCTAGTAGGCAGTGCTTGAAACCTTCACTTCTAAAACCTTTTCTTTTGCCTTACTTCAATCGTTGAGTAATGGAACTTGAACTAATTAGGCTGGAGTTGACACTTAATTTTGTTTGAGAGCCCACCCACGATGATTCACAAACTGGCCTTATAGATGAAGGCTTCAGTCCGGCACTGGAGGGCCCAATAGGCTATGGCCCAAATGGATCATGACCCAATGCTACCTCCAAACAGATACTAGGCCTTTCCTTAAGAGGTTGGCTTAGACTTTTTATAAAACCTAGGGTGAGAGTTTGACCATGCACTATAGATGCTACTACACCTATATGAGTTTCATGAGTGCCCCCTACTGACTGTTGCGTGTTTCCCACAAGTTGAGCTTCCACACCTTTCTGAATTTCATGATTACACTGTTTCTGATGCTGACTAACCGCTGGTAATGACAATTCCACAACACCTATGCCTATTTCATTTGAAATGCCCGCGCAATCCCTGGTCTCATCCACTGCTGATACATGGCTTAAACTGCCCCCCGTCAGCCAGCTCAGCTCGTATCTTCGTCTGGGATGCCAAATCCCCTAAAGCCACCTTAGATGCTAATGCCACATCAACTGCCTTGTCAGCATCTTCATGCACCAAGTTAGATTCTGCAGGGAGAGGAAGTACCCCATTGATGTTGGAGCAAACAACTTTGTCCGTGGCATTAGAATTCAATCCATTGTAACTGATGCTAACCTCTTCTATAATTTGCTCCTTAAAGAATCTAATTGGATAGACTCTTCCTTTGCACTCTAGATTTAGGCTTGTATTGATTGGATCCATAACACTTGTAATAACTATCTTGAACCGGCCACAACGAAAGGATTTAGGGGTACTAACATCACCATTTAGGAGAACCACCTCTCCCCAAAGTCTCCCTATCTTGCAGAAAGTATCTGAGTTCCACAGGTTGAGGGGCACTCCATAGCAGCTGACCTAGACACACCTCTCTCGTTGGAGATACATACTTTGTCTCTATTCAGTGATATATTCACACCAGTCATGGAACCAAGACTTAAACAGAGTCATTTTGCTCACAATCTCTTCCTTGGAGCTGAATGAGATGATAGCATCTCGCCCACCTCCCTCTCTTACCAAAACATGCTTTGCCCCTTTTTTTATGAGTTCATTTCTCACCTGCTAAGCAAAGTAATGTGGTTTTAGTCTCATAATCATGCTTTCGTAGAGCCACCCATTTCTGATTTCATCTACTTTAATAGTTGTCAAAGGTTGATATCTGGGGTCAGGTCCCTTCGTGACCTCTACAAACGACCTACCATCAGTGCGTTGTTGCCAGATCTGTTTTGCTGCTGCAGTATTGGCCTTCCTAGGTTCAAAGTATCTTGGTGGTAGAGGTTTCTGCCTCTGCCTATCCTCTATTCCTTTACCATATTCTGCAATTTTAACTGATAAAGACTTATCATCAACCCACAAACCATTGGCCTTTTGTTCAGCTACATCAGCTGCAATAGAACAATCATAACGCATGAACCCAAATCTGGTATTTGTTGCTTTCCTCTTTTGTGGAATGAAAACATCCTTCACCACACCAAACTTGTTGAATAGATCATGAAGCTTTCTAGGTACCATTGATTCAGGCAAGTTATCCACAAATAATGTAAACAGAGACAAAATACAATAATCAGTTGGATTTTCAACTGAATTTGGACAAGACAAAATACTCCATTAACAGGTTTGCAGTGCCATGTTAAAATTTTCAAGTTATCGAAACAATGAAGACAAGTCACCTCAAAACAACAACAATACTTTTTTTTTTTGTTCATGTTTAGTTAATATCGATAGGCTTGGTTTGGTTTGGTTTGTATCCTAGTTACAAGCACACTGACAAGAAAACATAGAATTTAAAAATAAAATTTTTAATTAATTGTATTAATTATAGAAATTTTGGCTTTTACAAGACCATTCAAAATGCGGGAAAAACTTATGGCAACATTTATTAAAATGTCAACTTTGAAACCATCATCTCACGTTTCTCATGTACTGATAGTTTTTTGTCGACATTTTCTAATAATGCCATCTTGCTTTATAGTTGTGCTTTTTAAAAAAATGCTACTAAAATACAACTTCTGGTTATGTTGTTCCCTTATTGATTATTAAATCCCAACAATTTATGCAACCGACCACATCAAAATTTAAATTACTCAAATTCAAACTCACACTCGGCAACATTTATTCAAATGTCAACTTTGAAACCATCATCACACGTTTCTCATGTACTGATAGTTTTTTGTCGACATTTTCTAATAATGCCATCTTGCTTTATAGTTGTGCTTTTTAAAAAATGCTACTAAAATACAACTTCTGGTTATGTTGTTCCCTTATTGATTATTAAATCCCAACAATTTATGCAACCGACCACATCAAAATTTAAATTACTCAAATTCAAACTCACACTCTAGATTCATTTTAACATTCAAAATACATTGAACTAAGAAAAGACAAAAATATTATTAAAAAATTAGTCTGAATTTTGCCCACACAGTACATAAATATTACAAGTTTAAATTGCTCAAATTCAAATTCACACTCTAGATTCATTTTAACATTCAAAATACATTGAACTAAGAAAAGACAAAAATATTGTTGGAAATGGTAGAAAAATTCTGGGTAAAACCAGAATTTTTTTTCAAGTTTGGTCTATTTTTTAGGTGGGCCCCGAGTGTCGATTTACTCGGGTTAAAGTGGTAACGCGTTCTATGCCGCGTTGTGATTCACGTGGTATATTTGGTTGCTCAAAACCATTACCGAGTGAATGAGAAATTGAAGCCAAAGTGTGCTCCATGAAAATGGAGTTTTGGTGGAAATTCCTTAAGGTTGTAAATTGGCTTGTCCCACATTGATTTGGTGGAAAGTTTTGAAAGGGTTTATAAGGCTTGGGTTAGATACTTGGGGTGTGCCCCAAGGGGGTTTGATTTTTGTAATCAAACAAATTCTCTCATTTTCTTTATTTCTTTATATTCTTGTTGTTGTTTTGTACACAACAGAATTTAACTTTATTAAATACAGTGAAGATTGTCTAACAAATATTACAAAAAAAATTAGCCCGAATTTTGCTCATACAATACATAAATATTACAAGCCTTCAAGTCTATCAAATCAGATATACAACCAAGATAAATCAAAGGTTGACACTTAATATGTATTGCGGTATTCTATGGATTGGAAATACCATATAGAGAAAGCTACTCATATTATGATTTATGATTGGGAATAAGCGATGAAAAATGCTATAAATACTAAATTTTCTCCCAAACAAATAACTAAATGTCTTATATGTGAGACATTTGGTTATTTGTTTAATAGAAAATTTGATATCCCTACCATTACTCATAAGCGATAGACAAAAGAAGCCCTTATTTTGAAAAGTAGTATTGGGAAACTCTTTGGTATTGATTACAAAATAACGGTAACGGCAACATTGAGTGATACTTATCAGGAGTTGGGCTCCCAGTTGTAATATTTGAAAATTATTAGTTGCAAAAAAATTGGATTCGTTTGGTTTAGTTTTCAGAATCAATTTTGAAAGACAATTTTTTGAAAAGAGTTACAAAATTTCAAATTTTGTTTGGTTATATATTTTGAAAATAATTTTTTAGAAAGTTGAAAATCAAAAACTTGTTTGGTTTTGAATTTTCAAAACTCGTTTTTAAGTCTTTTGTTTCTTGTATTTTAGTCATTTTCATTTTTAATTTTTAGATGCATGAATTCTAAATGCCTTTTTTTTTATATTTTTAAATATTTTAATCAATATTTTTTAGTTTTTAGATTTACTCAATCTAAATACACTTAAAACGTATGAAATTTATAAAAAAACAAATCACGAAATACTAACAAAGATACAAAAAATTAATACATTTTTGTATTTTTTTGGATACTTTAAATGAAATAATTTTTTAAAATTATTTATTCATGCTGGTTGCCCAAATTTAAATTTAACACATTTTCCCACTATTTAAAATAATATTTTGTATTAATTTAAAATAAAAATTCATTTTATTTTAAATTTTTATATAAGTTGACAAATAATTTTCTTATAAAGTTTCATTCAAAAAAATTTGATTATTTTAAAAATATGATGTACCAAATACTTCAATATAGATATTGGTTCAATTAATGTAAATTTGGTAATAAAGATAAATTTGATTTGAAATAGTTTTGAGAATACAAATAAATTTGGAATGAGTAATGCTATACAAATAAAAAATTCATACATAATGATATGGAACATTATAGACCATTTACTTCAAAACACCAGTGAAGATACATTTATTTATAATAATGGCATTGCCATATCAGTGGAATTCTTTGTATGAATTTTATGTTCCATTTAGGCCTATTTTGGCAACTAGGTAAAAAATCTAGTTATTGGCTTATTGACTTATTTGAGTCATCTCACCTCTCTACTTTTTTGCATATTTTTTCAAATAAAAGAATCACTTCCCAAAATAGGCCTTGGAATAGATTTGAAATAGTTTTGAGAATAGTAAAAATTTTAAAATTGAATGGAAATAGTTTTGGGAATAGTGAAAATTTGGGAATAGCTTTGTGAAAATTTTAAATAAATGAGCTTTCAATTTTGGGCCATGCTGGACTGCTATAAAAATCTTGGGCCTGTTTGGTTCCCAAGATTTTTATAACAGTCAAACCACACTACAACAAATTACACTTTTGGCGACTAAATTTTTAGTCGCCAAAAGTCATTTTTTGGTCGCCAAATATTTTTCCCGACTAAAATTCTTTGTCGCCCGTTTGGTCGTTGATTGACTGTCGGCAAAAGAATTGGCGACTAAATTTTTTTTTAGTCGAGCTTTCAATTTTGGGCCATGTTGGACTGCTATAAAAATCTTGGGCCCTGTTTGGTTCCCAAGATTTTTATAACAGTCAAACCACACTACAACAAATTACACTTTTGGCGACTAAATTTTTAGTCGCCAAAAGTCATTTTTTGGTCGCCAAATATTTTTCCCGACTAAAATTCTTTGTCGCCCGTTTGGTCGTTGATTGACTGTCGGCAAAAGAATTGGCGACTAAATTTTTTTTTAGTCGCCGAAAGTCACCAATTAGCGACTAAAAATTTAGTCGTCCAAAAAAATATATTTAGTCGCAAAAAAAAAATAAATTTCATCATCAACTTTTTAGCTACCAATTTTTTAGTAGCCAAAAACGTGGCACTCTTGTTTGGCTATCAATTTTTTAGTCACTAAAATCATGTTTCTATTCGGCGACTAAATAGTTTTAGTAGCCAAAACTCAATATACGGCGACTAATTTTTATTTTATTTTTTTTGTAACTGAAAATAAGTTTTTGGTGACCAAACATTTGGTCACCAAAGCTAAAAAATAATTTTTTATTTTTCATTAGGCGACTAAATAGTTTTAGTAGTAAAAACTAAATATACAATAGGGCGACTAAATTTTTTTTTTGTCGCCAATTCTGACATTTTTGGCGACTAAATTATTTTTTAGTCGCCAATAACCAATATATAGCTACTAAAAAAAATTAGTAGCTAAATATTTTACTTTTGCCGACTAAAAAAATATTTAGTCGCCAATTCCACAACTTTTGGCGACTAAAATTTTTTTAGTCGCTAATTTTAGTCGCCAAAGGTGCGTTTTGTTGTAGTGCCAATTGTGTAGGTTGTGAATAACTTACGAATTGGCTATTAACGAATATGTTTTGAAACCAACATATACATATGTAATTTTCATTCTAACTTGTACATCGGTGTGTATTGACATGAGAAGGACAAAAACTCATATATCGGTTAAATTTAGGGTTTTTTTTTACTAATAGGTCCTACTTTTGAGACTTATAACCCATTAAGTCCTATTGATACCAACATATGCTATGATATTGCTACTTCAACATTATGACCCTACTCATTATACAAACTACAAAAATTCAAAACTTTTAACATTATGTCGCATCATCTGTTAATACACTAATTAGTATACCAATTGGTGTATATAGCATTATTCATTGATAAATTTATCAGTCTCTCTTATATTTATGAATAAATTTACAGTGATAAATTTATCGGTCAGAATTATAGTATGAACAACAACTTTGATATTAGTTTGTAGAATATTGAAATCTCTTTTGACAACATATTGAAATCTCTAGCAGTGGGCATGAGTTGTAAGTTTTAAAATGACAGATCCACAATTTAACATATCATTTAATGTATATTTTCATTAAATAATTACACATGATTTTTGAGTCAAGCTATGTTATGTTCTCAATTAATTAAACTAAAAACGACCCTATATAGTGTATACTCCATTCAGTTTATTATTGCCCTTCGGTAACAAGTAGTTATTAGGTAGTCATGTTCTCATTCTGGTTTGGGTGGGGGTTGAATATGTGATATTCCTGGTCTTTTTTTAACAATAAAAGTTGCAAAAATACTACACAACTGGTGCTAGCAACTATAACCAGTGTTTCACCGTGCTATGCATAGGTTGTATTTATAATTATTTGTATATATATGAATTATAATTTTTAAATGTCTTCTTTTTATTTATTTTTACATAGAAAAAAGGAATATAACAAATGCAGCATATCTTCAA